AAAGCCTTTTCATTTTACGCAATTTTTTAAACGAGCTTTTCTGTGATTATATTCAGGGGTGGGTTTTAAATATCCTGAAGAATTTTGTTTCTGAAGAAGATTGGAAAAGCACTAAAAATTAGCAAGAATCACCTGATCTGGGCTTATGTAAAGCTTAGGGCCCATTAAGCTGAACTGAAGAGACTGGCAAACAGGCTCTTTCCTTTGCAAGTTGTGTTCTGGGGCCCAAACGCGAGATATTTGAAAATCTAGAAAATACTGCAAATCCTCGATAGGCGGCTTGTCTGAACAAACGAAAATGACTCGCAGTTAGAGTGAAAAACGTGATACTCATGCAGATTTTTACTGGAATATTAGCAAGGAAAAGCAGACCGTTAAATTTTCTTACATTCTAAATACAACTCAATAGCACGAGCCAAGTGCTTTATTCCGGCCACTCCTTCAAGCAAAGACACAATAGGCGTAAATGTCATGTCGATCAAATCGGGTGCGTTTTCTACACTCGGGGCCCACTTTACATAGCTCTGCTCGAGATCATCTCCTCCTCTCCTTCTGAAAATCACAGTAACATCCTGTAGGAAAATGAACTCAAATTTACTTATTAAACCAAAAGTCCATTCATTATTCATAACATAGTTGATCTCAAAAAGTGTTTATCTTGATATTATATTTTCACATTTAAATTCCATGGTGAGTGTTCTGAGGGAAATAACCTTTAAGGACTGTTTGCAATACACTCCTAAGGAAGTTTATATAGTTTCAGTTAGTATCTTCTATATCCATTCTTGCATAGGAACTCAAAACCCAAATTATCCGAGAATGAGCATAACATTAGTTAAAAAAGAACGAAATTTGTAGGCTATGTTTAGTAGACAAATAAATTAGCTTATAGCTTATTTGATTAGCTTATAAGCTTCCTGTATTCAAATAACCTTCGTTTGGTAGGACGAGCTTTTTTTAAACACTTGAGCTTATCTCATAAACTTCATTTTGGGTAGCTTTTCAAATAAGCTCGTTGAAATTTTTATTTCAGTTAGATTATCAGCTAATTTTACCAAATACAATTATCATATAAGCTAGCTTTTCAGCTATAAGTCATAAGCTATAAGCTCGAAAATCACTTATAAGCTATCAACTAGTTTTTTTACCAAACATAGGCGTAGTAACACCAAAGATCGTAATAATAATATGATTTAAAGAATCCTACTTTATTTACTAACCTTATCCTTATACTTTAAAGCGCCTGCACTTGTGTTGACCTTAGATTCTGAAAATCTCTGATCTGCAATGTCTTTCACATAGTTTTCGATATCTGAAGCTGATAAAGGTGAAGATTGATGCTGTCTAACATAGACAATGTCCCTACCACCTATAGTTGCCGAGGTAACTATGTGGGTCCCATAGTTTTCAATAAAGCTGAAAGAGAAAAACACATCATTTGTTTGAAAAACTTCTTGCAAAGGATTATCTTCGGTTTACATGAAAAGACTTTGATAAATACAATACCTTGCTAGAGATGAAGGATCCCAAGAGTAAGGAACTGCACGTTTAATTTCATCACGCAAGATTAAATTTGAATTAAGAAGCTTAACGGTAAACAATGGGATTACATATCCCACCATTGCAAGTGATTTTGTAGAGGAGGCATCGATTTGCCAACAGCCACTGAAATTAAACATAGCATTAAAGCTCCCGAGCGGTATTTGGCCCGGTAAATTCGACTTTTCGTTGAAGTATTTTGCCATCTGTAGTCAAGAGTCCAATATCTCAAAATTCACATCTTTATTAAGACTGTTTTTAGAATATTTCAAAACAAGACAAAAATAGTAGAAATCAAGGAAGCAGATTGCAATGTGATGTACAATCAAATTAAAAGGAAAAATATAATAATAGCCAATTGTTGTAATTATATAGTATGGCAAATGGCACTCTATCACCTTTAGAAGCACAAGATCTCGAGTCGTTCTTGAACCAACAAAAAAATTGGAGGGCTAATTTTCAAATCCATGATGACGCTTACTATTACGCTATAACTTAAAAAATAAAAGCAATCAACTAGTTTACAAATGTTGATGACATGTGTCTGATTATTACCAATTGTCTTGCAATAGTAAGAATCAAACTTTAGCAAAATGCCACACCTTTCTCATGATAGGGACTAATAATTCTTGTACTAATTGAATTATTTGTAATGAAGTTAAGATATTTTTGTGGACACCATTTAGAACCTCTAGATTATAATGAACTCCCGAACAATTACTATATCAAGAACGAAGCAGGCAACAGTTCTTACATTCTACAAATTCTAGAAAATCCACAAACATCTATCAAAATCCAATATTCAACTTAGTGGATTATCATGAAGCCAAAACCCACATCAAAAGTGAAGCCAAGTAAAAGCAAACAAACTGGAGAAAGATCATAGCAAAGGGGAAGATATCTATCTATGTCCACCATTTTTTCGATTTCATTCGGTGGTCCCCACAAATAAACAAGATAATACAGTACTCCTCATGTTTCACCAAAAGACATACCCATATTCCCATCTCAAGCACAAGGGTGATTTTCTAATCAAAATTAACCATTTGGAATCAAGATCCAATTTTTACCAGTATATATGGCATCACATTGAAAACCCAACATTGCTAGCCCATTAAAATATAACAAATTAAAAAAATAAAATAAAATGCTTATTTTAGAAGTAACGGTTATATAAGAAGTTCCATCATCCAACCAGTATCAAGAAGCCAAAACCGTAACTCTTTACAAGTTAC